GGACCGGAGGGTCCCGCGGCAAGGTTAAAAAAGTGCCTGCCGCTACTGAGAGGCAGGCTGTCAGCTTGTGGGTATCTTCTTTTAATTTACGCCTGTTTTCAGTCGTCGTGCCCAGCAGGTGCTTGTGAATAAAATGGGTATTTACAACGGTATTTCTGCCGTTGCTGCCGCTAGTGCAGCTGGTGGTGGGACAGATCGGAAATTCTGTACCAGGGATTCCTCTGAGATACTTCTTAACCGTATCAGCAAGCCTAAGCTTACCAGACTTAATTTTATTGTTGCTTTTCAAAACCAGCGGTGAAATTGTCAAGTACCTCGTTGGTATCCCATTACCTATTGTAAAGCAAGAGTTTTGGAAAACTTGTAAGAAAGTAGCGTAACAGAGTTCCCCCTCCACAGCCAGAAGGTCCTAAGGGAAGGTTTCCTTTCTGCTGTGGGAAGGAGCACGGGGAACTTGATGTCTAGAACGTTTGATCCTTAGCTTTGCTCTCTAGCTAGCATTTTAAACGCAGCAGAATACCCTGTTGGGAATTTCACACTCAGCTGAGAAAGGGGTTATGTCTGAATTTCTTACTGCATGCAGTTCCTGAGTCTCACCAGTGACTTCCTTCTGTCTTTGTATTGCTCCCGAGTAGTAGAATAGCTTGGTAAACTGTTAAATCGCACATATGCTCCTTGAAGTCAGTGCCGACATATTAACAAAACTACTGGAAACTGGGAGGAGATTAATTTTGTTGTACAGATAGGTATGTTTATACCAGACTGTTCTAAGTAGCTTGCTAAAGTGCTGTCTCCATTTCCAGTTCCTTTACAAGAGCCAAGAAAGAACAGTTCTTTACTGGTAGCGACAGTAAGAGTGAAATTAGTACATCGGGGTTCTTTTTGTTAATACAAACAGCTGAGCTTTGCGGGCTGCAGAAGTATTTTGAGGATTGTCTGTATTGCCCATCCTCCTCTGCATGAAGAATATAGGGGTTTGGGTTTGGTTTTTTTTTCCCCCTGCTCTTGGGACTGGGGAAAAATTTGTTAAAGGATTTATCATGGTATGGGTATGTGGTCACATCTAGTCTGTCCTGCGAAGCTGAGATGTTGGGAGTTGTGTGGAAAACCTCGATGTCATTCTTTCTATAACTGGCACTAGCCCATGGGCTGTAGTATTTTAGATTTCCAGGATGTATTTTACACTGATGAGAAGTTAATTTGTGGGAGGCAGGTCGATAAGTTTCACTTTGTAACATTTATAGAATCCTGTCTGGCATAGACTTAAGTTTTGATCTGCCCATTAAGTTTTTCTGTTCTCAGTGCGGGGCTTGTGAACCGCATACTTTGACTGCTTTATGGACAAAGTGAACCTCTGTTTAAACGTAAAATCTATTTTCTAGATAAACTGACCCTCTGAATCCTTTTTTATCAGCAGCTATCATGTAACGTACCCAACTGTTGCTTGAAACGTTAATGCTTCAGTTCTACTGAGAGCGAAGGATGAAATACAGTTTTCCTAAGTCACGCTTTAGATACTCTGCCCAACTCCTGAGCTGCCTGTGAGACGAGGGGGAGATTTTTCCATGTGCCATGTTTCCTGGTGATCACCTTAGCCGCCATTTCCCAGGAAAGATGTTTCTTTTACATTTCTTCATGTTCAGGGTTGAACTGGGTAGGAAGTGTGTGGACTTAACGCTTTTATTTAGGAGCAGAATGCGGCTGGGTTGTGGTAGAGCTGCTACTGCGTTTGTGTCGTGTCCCAGTCGTGAACACAACTCAAAAGCTCTGAGTACAGATTTGCATACTGATTTTTTTTTGTTTCTTTTTTTGCTTATACCCCCATTGCACAGGGCAGCTTGTCTGAGCAGTGGAAATTGTGTATGTTTTGTGTCAAATATAGAGTTTAAGCTGTACTGAACAGTCAAAAAATAATTTTAGAGTTCTGGGGTCGGTGCAATCTCCTGAGACCGTAGGAAGAGTTTAAAAATAAAATAACAAAATACTGCATTAAGATGCAAAGAAAAGCATATATGTGGTAATCTGTCCTTACATGAAAGTATAAGAAATTGGTTTAAAGTAGCTATCAGCAGATCCAGCCTTGTCGTCTTGTGTGTGGTTTGTTTCCACTAGTAACATCACAAAACTTCCTCGCTTGTTCACTTCATGTATTAGTAATTGCACAGTTTGACTTCAAATATGAGGAGAAGAAGTCATAATGCCAAGAATGGCATGGTACGAAACTGTACCTTAAACGTTTTTGGCAACTGAGTTATGTTTGCTAAAATTAATTCCCTCTGTATTGTTGTCCTCAAGCAAAGGTCTTCGGTTTTTTGCTTCGGTGTCTACCTGATGCCCAGCACCAGTCATCTGCACTGGCTGTGGCAGCTACTGGATGCCCAGCACCGGTCCTCTGTGCTACTAAGAATAAGTTTTTTAAAGGTGGTCATTGTTAGCATGGGCTCAGCTGTATGTTTAACAAGAGTTTATAAAACCGCTAAGCTAAAGTCCAGATCCGTGCCGCAGAAGTGCCGTTGGAGCTTTAGTCAGCTAAAATACGGCATTTTGATTCTGTTGTCTTCTGAGGACTTTGCTCTCGTTTAAGTGGTGTAATTATGTCATGGTTCATTGGCAGGTTATTTTGATCTAATAATTTTGGATTATTTCTCTCTAGGATAGTGCTTTTAATGGTACATCAAGTTTATAATCAGGTAGCAAACCAAGAGACTGAAGCATAAGCTTCCTCCTGAACAGCAGCGATTTCTTGACTCTCAGACACGTGTGAGATGATCT